CGGTCCCTCTACACAAAATATCTTTCTCCATCTAAGAAGACCAAACCTTTCCCCCAAAACAAAAGTGTTCAGAAAAACCCAGCATCTGAGAGGTTTCTAGGGGATTGCAAGTTCCAGGCCTGCCTGGACAACAGATTGAGATCCTTGGGAAAAGGAAAAAAAAATCTCAGTCTTATTTGAAGAACATGTTCTTGCCCTCTTACTGCACCCCCAGACCTACTGCATTAGGCCCCAAATGCAGAAAGGCCACACTTTTCTTTCTTTTCTCTCTCTCTCTCTCTGTTTTGAGACATGGTCTTCCTATGTAGTCCAAGAGTGATCTGAACTTATGATGACCCTCCTGCCTCGGCCTACAGACGCACGCCATTTTAACACAAGACTCACTCACACCATTCTGAAACATAGGTAAGTAACACATATGTGGCTTGACATTTCAGGCATGACGTACAGAGCGGGACACATCGCTGAAGCCCTGGAGAACACTTTCTTGTGAAAGGGTCTGGAGTCAGACAAGAGTTTGCTGCAGGCAAAGTACTGCCCTGTGTCTTTTGGACAGAGCAAGACAGGTGTGGCCCCTGCCCGCTGAAATCTAGCTGAGCTTATTCTGCGTTTACCAGAAAGCCACATCCGACCAACACACAAAGCCAGAGTAATCAGAAGTGATTTGTTTTTAATCTCATGCATCTCCCTTATCAATGATCTCATTCACTAGATCAAGATAGTTTCTTTATAGCAACGAAGAGCAAAAGCCAAGAGGCCTGCAGCGGGCCCTTCCCTGATGGAGAAGGCACTCTGGATGGGGCGAGGGGGCCTGGCAAGCAGCCTTGGACATGGCTGGGGTTTCCGGCATTACTGGGACCCCCTCCACCTCCAGACACCTGCTGAAGTACTTGTTCCCCCAAATGTCACAGCTCTGCCCTGGGCCGAAGGCATCTGCATGTTCTGAACGGGCTGTGTAGAACTTTGGGAGCTAATGTATCAGAAAACAAACGAAACAGATTTTCTGTGTTATGTGTGATGCAAGTGCATCCTCAGACCTGCTCAGCTCGGTATCTCCAAATCCCATGGATGGACTCTGTGTGTGTGTGTGTGTGTGTGTGTGTGTGTATGAGGTGCGGAGGTGTAATCATATATGACTTCAGGGTGTTTATTATTCTATAGAGCTGGGCAATGACAATTTTAGAGTATTTTTATCACCCCCAAAAGAAAACCTGTATCTTCTATTATTAACTTCCCACTGCCACGAAGTTTCCCTTCCTGTAGGTAGCCACAAATCTCCTCCTCGATAGATTTGCCTACTCCGGACATTTCATATAAATGGAATCATCATAATATGTGGCTGACTGTGATCTGCCCCACTGCTGTAGCAAAGGGTGATTTCTAAATTACAGAGGTTTATTCAGCGCATGGCTCTGGGTCTGGAGACTCCAACACTAAGGGGCCACATCTGGTGGGGACTCCATGCCAGGGCGTCACACAGCGAGAAGGGTACATACGAGACAGAGCCAAGGTGGCGTTTCTAACAGGTCCACTCTGACACAGCCCCTCGCTCCACAATCAGGGGACCCAGTCACAGTCCTTAGTCCTCAGGACGCACGCAGCTCTTCAGGGTCTCACCTGCCTCTCACTGCCGGACACCTCATCACGGAGACTACATTTCCACGTGGGCTTTGGATGGGCTGTTCAAGCCACAGGAGCAGTCTTTTGTGACTGGGTTCTTTCCCTTAGCCTAAGGTGTTTTAGTTTTGTTTTTGTTTTGCAGTAGCGAGGATTGAATCCAGGGCCTTCACGTTAAGCTACATCCCCAAATCTTTTTTTTTTAAATTCTGATTACAAGATGACATGGTCTCACTAAGCTACTAAATTGCCCAGACTGGGCTCAAACTTGTGATCCTCCTGAATCAGCCTTCCAGAGTGCTGGGACTATAGGCATGCACCACCACGTCCAGCATCCCAAATTTCTGAGGGATCCTCCATGTTTTTTATTGCCAAATGTTCTATTGTGCGATGGACCCTATTTTGCTGATTTATTCATCAGCTAATGGGCACGTGAGCTGTTTCCACCTTGTCATGATTACGGATGGCATTCTATGAACATCTTTAAGTTTCTGAGTGACACATGGAATAGACAGTATTTTGGGGGTCTGAATCCTTTGGCTGTGGTACCCATATTTTTCAGGCATTAAAGTGAAAAAGATTTATCAGAGTAACCAAATAAGTTACAGCCCCTGCCTGAAACCAGGCATAGTGATGCAGGCCCGCACTCCCAGCTACTTGGAAGGCTGAGTTGGGAGGATCACTTGAACTCACAAGTTCAAGGCCAGCCTGAGCTACACAGCAAGACCCTATTTCAAAACAAAGTAAAAAAAATCAGTGCAAGTTCCTCAATGGCCTCTGAGGCCCTACACAAAGCTTCCTGCCTCTTCAGATGGGCCTTCTGGTCAGAGGGATCTGGGGCTCAGGGCCTGAGATGCACCTACTGTAGCTCAGACAGGTCTGCAGCTCTCTAAGCCTCCTGCTGCTCATCTGCAAACTGAAGCTACGTACAGGACATCCTCCCACGTGTGTCTCTTCTGATGCCCGGGGAGATAATGCCTGAAGAGCGTGCAACACAATGTCTGGCTCAGCGACTTCTGGGTATGACACCTTTATGACCCAGCCATGGCAAACCTCCTCTGAGCCCCCAAATGTCCTGTGCATTTCCATTTCTGGACCTTTGCTTCTGCTAAGGAAGCAGGAAAGGAAACAAAGGGACAAGTGGACAGGAGCAACTTGCTGGCCAAGGGGGAAGACCCAGCAAATGCTCCCCCCAGCTTAGTTCCACAGCCGTGACACCACTTTTTGGCTGCACCAAGTGGGTTGAAGAACAGCACCTTGGCCTGGAGGAAGGTGGCGAGGAGGGGACTCAGTGCTCAGTCTCCCTCCTATACTATAGGCCACCAGGCAGGAAGTGAGGGCGGGAGGCAGAGAGATGAGTCTGACAGGAAGCCAGGGAACAAAGCAGTCATACCTGAGAGCAGTCAGGGAGGATGAGGTCCTCAGTGGAGGGGGTTGTGGAGGAAGAGCCAGGTGGTTTAAAGAGTGAAGGGGAAAGGAAGAGAGAGGCCCTGACTGCCAGGCAGGTCTGACTGCTTCTAAGGAATGGAGACAGTGCAGGATCGCAGCCAGGTCAGACACCTGCTAGGGCCCTCCGCCTGAGCTCAGGGCCTGGGGAACCAGTGGAGAAAGCCAACGACAGACCCCTTCAACGATCAGGTCAGCGATCAGGCCATGCAGGGGAATGCCTGTGAGTGCATCTACACCTAAGCACAGGGAAGGAGCACCCTGGATGAAGCAGGCCCTCCCTGGTTAGCGAGTCTGCAGGTACTTTGCTCCTGGACTTTCTGGCCAACAAACATTTACAAGCCACCTCGTTTGGGACATTTTGTTACAGCAGTATGAAGAAACAAAGGCGGCCTCTCAAAGTCAGGGCTGTCCAAATGCAAACTCATGACCCCTATCCTGGCCTAAGTCCTCATCTGATGTTTCTTCTTTCAGTAAATGGTAACATCTGCCCAGCTGCAAGCCTGGAACCAGAATCATCTGACCCATGTCCCTCTTTCTAACCCTTCATGTCCAATCCAGGGCCATGGCTCTCAAAAAGCTGCTGTCACTTCCGTCTTAGGCATCACTACCCCAGTCTCCCAGGGGGCCTGCTGCCAGCTCCTAGATGGTTTCCTTGGATGCACAAGTCCCGCACTCAGCCTGTTCCGCACACTTAGATCAGAGGGGCTTGTCATACACCAGTCATATCATGTCACTCTCCTTCGACAGCTCTCAACAAAAAGGCAAAACTTGAAGACGGTGTCTAAGGCCTGTCCCCGTCACATCTCTACCTATTCCCACACGTGCCATTTTCCCCTCCAACCCTATGGGCTCCGCAGGTGCCGTTCCTCCTCTGGGGAACACAACTCTGTCCCCTCCTTGCTGTACTCACTGTTCGTGTCTCTGTCAAATACCACTTTGACAGGGAAGGCTTCTCTTGTCTGATAAGGTTAAGTGCTCCAATTATTATCAATCTCATATCTTTTCTTAGCACTCATCACAGCTGCAGCATTACCACTTTTTTTGTTTGTTTGTTTTTTGGATTTTTGAGACAGGGTCTCACTGTGTAGTGGAGACTGACCTGGAACTCACTACTTAGCCCAGGCTGGTCTAGAACTCACAGCGATCCTCCTGCCTCAGCCTCCAGAGTGCTGGGATTACAGGCGTGCGCCACCACGCCCGGCTTTACCACTTTTAATTTGGGTGAGCAAATAGTGCAGGCTACACCGAAAGTTCTATGCGGGCGAGGACCATATGGTTCTGTTCATCACTGTATCTCGGAGTGCCTGCCACAAACCTTGGGCACATAACAGCCACAGGCTAAACATGTGTTGAATGACCAAGTGATGATAAGGTCACGAAAAATGAAAATAGGACTCGAGGTAGAAAAGAAAATAGTGAAGGAAGGTACACCAATATCTTCAAAGAACACAGAGGAACGACTGGGAAGTCAGACCAGCACAGCTTAAGGGTCCTGTAGATAATGGCTGATGCCCCAAGGATGTGCAGCTGCAAGAAGGTGGGGAGGCTCTGGGATTACTGAGCTTGCATGGATTGAAGAGAAGCAGATTCTTTTAAGAGATTCGTCCCTTTTTCTGACTGGATTTTCCTTACAATAAAAAGGAAGCTCTCCTCACGAGAAGCCTCTGAAGGGACCTTGATTCTCCCAAGAAGCAGGAAAGCATACTTCACGGAAGGGCATTGCCAGCCAATGGAAACAGGGCAGCTGGGGCACCCACGCTGGCCGCCGGATTCTGAAGAGCTGCAAATCCACCTCAGGTGAGTGCACTAACAGGAAACCCTCACACCCCAATCCGTTACACAGCAGCCCATGAACAGCTCTTTGATACTTTCTCAGCCACTGCAAACCAGCCGTTTGAGGCCTGGCTCCCAACTCTTGCCAGGGAGACACGTACCTTGGTCCACCCGGGAAAATGGATGAAGGTGTCCTGGGGCAGGTCCGGGATCCCACTGGGGATGGAGAAGCTGCCCACGTAGAAGGCCGGAAGCGTGCGGTTGGCTGAGCCATGAGCACAGTGCTCAGCGTGGTGGCGGGCATCATGGCCACCCCAGCTCCCCAGGTGGCTGCGCACGGCCTCCTCCGCGTCCAGTGGGAAGATTGTCCAGTTGGTGAGGATATGAGAGCCAAGGGTCATGTTAGAAACCAAGCCCTGCAAAGGAGAGCAGAATGTGATGAGCTGGGCAGGGAAGGAAAAAGACGTCGAGTGTCTCTGTGTTCAGCGTTGGCTGCCTGGGAAAGCAGACTGAGATAGCAAACCCCCAACAGTAAATGAGGCCCAGGCCCTGTGCACACCCAGTAACACAGCTCCAGTGTGAAGTGGAATCACAGCTCTTGGGAAGAGCTTCATTTTCAAACCAGAACTGCGCTCTCAGAGGCCAGGCTGTCACCACAAAAGGCCCAGGGCTGCTGCTGCTGCTGCTTCTTTTTTTTAACTGTAAGCTGTGGTTTTATTTATTTATTTATTTTTGAGACAGGGTCTCCTATGTAGCCCAGGCTGGCCTCGAGCCCAAGGTGTTCCTCCTGCCTCAGCCTCCTGGGTGCTCAGATTGAGGACACGTGCCACCACACTGAGCAAGCTCTTTTTAACTGCTAAAGTTGCCCAACATAATCACTTTCATCAGAAAGGAAACCCCCAAGAGCCACTGTAGGCCTGATTATCATAATCGGAACCATTCCAAGCCCTCGAAGCTATTATTCCCAGCTCAGGATTTCAGAATGTCAGCCTTGAGCAGATTTAAGCCAATTTGGAGTCTTCCCTTGTTAACAAGTTAGTTAGGCCCAGGGCTTCTGCTTTTCCATGACGGGGACTGAGCAGCTAGCACACCTGGCCCCCAACCTCCCGCTCTTGTTTCTCAGGAACGGAAGATGGAGTCTGAGTGAGGAGAGAACTTACGGGGGGAAGACGGAGTGCTCTCCCCACTGCAGATGGAGGGGTGTGGATTCTGACCCCACACGGAGCCAGGAGCGAGTGTGACCCTGAGCGCCTCAGTGAGCCTCACAGGGACGAGCCCTGGTGTCCAGTCATCTGCCGTGAGGACCAAATGAGACAAAGTAGGTGGGGACACTTCGATGTCTGTAGAAGGGTATGACGATGAAGGTAAACCTCAGAAAGCGATTTGGATATTGCTCTATCCGTCCCTCGGGGCAAGGACTACAGTGTCCCTGGCTATGAGCCATCACACAGAAGCTGATGTCCAAGGCCCATCTGACTTCTCATTCCTGGCCTTTCGTGTGGGGCCCTTCCCCATTCTTAGTGGGACTGCACGTTCGTCTCAGAACGCCTTCTGGTACTAAGTCTCCTTTGCCCATTTTGTAATTAAACACTAAGCAGGTAGCTGTGTGCCAGGCTTTTTGTGTGGTATTGCGAACCCTAAGACTATACAACAGGGACCTGATCACCCTATGGTCAGTGAGGCCACGAGAGCTGGGCAGGAAGCCAGTGACCACAGCCTGAGCACTGGGAGGCAAGACTGTCATGCACAGTGTACCCCAAGAGTATAGCTGCCTGGCCTCTGACCTGCCCCAAAGGGGTCAGGAAGTAGCCACAGGTCCATCCTATGCTGGACCGGGCGTGGTGCCACAGTTCCCTGGAAGAACCTTCTTTCCTTTTGCAGGTGGTGAGCTGCTAGAGGAGTAGTTCACATCTGATGTCTCTACACGCCCTGAAGCATGCTGGGGGCCATCGTGGGAATTTAAAGGCTTGCTGAGTAATGCTCTCAAGATATCTGCGGGAAAATGTATTTGGGCTAGACACCTGGGCACAGAGGGGCCAGCAGAGGCAAGGGGCAGTGTGGCGAGGAAAGGCTTCCTATGATGCTGGAGTCCAGGCCCCCACACCCAGAACCCATCCAGAGCTAAGCGGCTTTACTGGTGAGGGAGGGGCCCTGTTGAGTGCGGTGAGCTTTCAAAGTGGAGGAAGAGCTCCGTGGAGCAGTTTCCTCCTTCTGCTTTTCGTGACAGGATAACCAAATTCAAACACAAGGCAAGTGCTCTGAGTGCAAAGCTCAGCCTTCTCATCGCCTGCAGAGGAAAACAGCTCTTCCAAAGAATCCATCTCCTAGGTTGTAAGAAAATCAGGGTGGTTCACTCATCGAGCCAAGCAGCGTGTGTGCTCTTAAAAAGTGCTCCTGTGATGCTAACTTGATTGTGATGATCACTTCGCAATGTACAGCCGTCGCAAAACCTTCAGTTTTCTCGACTATATAAATTTGTTCCTTACTTCTGGGTTAAAAGAGGTGAAAGGGAAAGAACGTGTCTGTGAGTTTTTCAATGGATGTACGAACACTTCCTCCGACTGCTAAGAGTCCTGACAGTGTGACTCATCTTACCTTGGAATCATTGATATAACTGCCATAGTTCACACGTCCCATGTTCTCCACCAGCAGGTCCAGGCTGGCTCCAGGTTTCTCTTGTATTTTCAGAGAGAACACATGGTTTCGCTCAAGGACTCCTTGGGGGACCTGTGGGTTCAAGGTCCAGTCAGAATTGAACGCAAAGGAGCAAGAAGAAGGGATGTGCAGACCTGGCCTTCACCATCTGACCTGCAGGAAGGCTCTGAGACCCCTAAGTCCATGGCCAGGTGGCTACGCTCCCCAGTCAGCTGCTTGCTAAACAGGAAAATTGCCAGACACACAGGCGGGCTGGTTGCCATTGCTTTGGAAAGTTTTACTGTTTGCCCGTTTTTAAAGGAAAGAGAATGGAGGTAGTTCCAGGAGAGGATTCCTGGTAGAGGAGCTGCTTTGTGTTTTCGCAGCACAAAAGTCAGCCACAAAGAAACAGCTTCTAAACAGCATGCAGAGGGGAGGCAAATAGATAACCAAGATAACGTCAGAGCTAGGTGGAGCATGCTCACATCAAAAGAATTGATAGGATGCATTAACCACAAAAATTATGTAAGAGAATGAAGGAACATAACAGTTTTTTTTTTTTTCTTTCTTTCTTTGGTACCTGGGATCGAACTCAGGACCTTGAGCTTGCGAAGCAGGTGTGGTGCCACTGAGCTAAATCCCCAGCCCAATAACAGGTATTTTTATTAACAACAAATTCTTAACTTTTTAAAAGGTTGCTAGATTTTTAAAAAAACTGGCATTACACTGAACACACCTCACTAAGAGAACTCCTAGACTGCAGGCCATGAACTAATCACCGCAAATACAACGCCATGGTTTAGAAATTCTTCCCACTGAAATTACAGCCGCCGATTAGGAAATAATAAAAATATTTAAATTATTCTGAACAAATTTTCTTGATTATGTAAATCATTTCACATGTCCTTTCCTACGACTGTCTCAATGACAGGAATGGGTATCTCACACTGCATCCGCACTTTGTTATGAGACCAAGTTCTTGTTTTTTAGTTGCAACTGTCATTAGCAACCCTTCAGAATACAATTTCTCATCAGGACGAGGCAGCCAGGTCAATGAACTTTGGGCAGTGGCAGGTACAAAACTGAACTGGAAATGCATGGTGTCCCGCAGGAATAATAAGCTGTGGCCAGGCAGAGAAGGATGGCGCTGCGCCGGGAGATGCAGAAGCCCTCCCAGCTCGTGGGTGTTGGAGCAGGGTCCTCAGAGCCAAGATGGGCCTGGGAAGTAGTCCAGGCAGATGGAGCCTGGGACAGGCCACATCCGCAAGCAAGGGACAGCGGTACGGGACATCAGGAGGGCAGAGCCTGACACGGAAGAGGTGAGCAAAGGCCCGAAGTGCCACGTTCATAGGTTCTATGTCCACGTCAGGGCAGAAATGCATCTGTAAGACCCTTACCCCGTCTATGGAGACATAGGCCCGATCGTGGACTCCATTGAAGGGTAGAGTAGAGAGGTGCGTCGAGTTGCGGTAATCTTCAGGAAGTCTTGTTCGGTACAGCACAAACCCAAAATACTGGTTAGAAAAGGATTTAAGAAAAAGGTATCATTCTTGCTGTTCATTTATGGAGAACTTGGTTTCTCTTGATCTGTATGAAAGGGATGTTTTGAAAACCATAAGGAAAAATAAGCTTCCATGAATGACTCCCTGCAAAGCTCATTCTGTAAGAAGGCAACCAGTTCAGCTTTTAGATCTTTGCATAACTGCACTGACCTTAAGCTGCAAGCATCCCTCTCCCACTGGCAGGTAAGTCATTTGCTCAGTGACCCAGGACTGTATCATATGTATCAAAAGGTACTGGTATTAATTCAGAACAAAATCCAGGAAGACGAACAAAGAAACGAGGCAAACACCAACAAAACCATGAAGTGAAGTTCTGTTCAGGTCAACTCTTCAGGTTCTTGGGCTAAATCTGTTCTAACATAAAACAAGACTCAATCTGAAACTAAAGTGGTACAAGAGGGGCAAAGAGAAAGGTGAGAGACTAGATTGTAACTGTTGCTGAATCTGAAGTTATTTTTAGATGGGGACATCCCCAATCCTAAAGGAATGTGTTAACCAGCCTCAGCAGCCACAGAATTAGTTACTGATCTTCTTATCTCTTTCTTGCTGTGGATGAGCTGGGACAAAATCCTGGGTTATGGAAGAGAATCCAAATAGAAATCCAGTATGCAACAGAGAAAAAGGTCCCACTTCTAGGGCTTAAAGTGGAAGGTGATTTGGAGGAACTGTGGAAAACATTACTCTCCGGGTTGCAGGAATGGGCTGTGCACAGGGAATGCTACTGGTCCTGCCCAATCTTCAAGGCCAAAGGCACCCCAGACCCCAAATCTGTCTCCTTGTTTACTGAAGCAAACCAAAGTGGTGAGCGCTCATTCTGGGGTTGCGGAAACCTTTGCAAAGAGCTTCCAGAAGGGGAACAGAAGCCAGGGTAACCCTGCACACAGGTGTGGCTGAAGCCTCAGGGGTTGGGGTGCGGTAGCCTGCAGAGGTACCAGGCTCTGCCCCCGGCCTGCAGCTTGTCGCCTCCCCTCCCCACACAGTTTTACTGGAAATAAGTATTCTCGGTGCTTGCCCCAGCCGGGGAAACAGCCAGGGCCAGGGGCCCCACCCAATTCCAGAGCACTGTGTTACCTTATTTTTCAGACTCCTTCCAGAAGGTGACCACAGAAAATCAGAAAGGCTCGGGTAACCTAACATTTCAAAAAATGGTGCTGGATCCCAAGGGTGTAAAAGGGTGCTGAGATCCTAGGACAACCAAAGGACAGACTGACCTCACAGGCACCTGATGCTGTGCCTGGGGAAAAGGCCTGTCACCTCTGTTGTATTCATACTAAATCTAATTAGCAAGGGAGAGTCTACTACGAAACTCTTCAAAAATGCCCCCGTCAAGAGTAATAAGTGCAGGTACAGTTTCTGATAAAAGAAGATTAAAGACAATACTGGGGCTGGAGATTTAGCTCAGTGGCATGATACCTGCCTCAAAAGCGCAAGGTCCTGAGTTCGATTCTCAGTACTGGGGAGGAAAAAAGATTAAAGACAGTACTACTGTAATGTGAGATGAAATTGGAAAATGGATTGAAGAGCGGGGGATTTAGCTCAGTGTTTCTGCCGCCTGCCTTGCAGGTACAAGGACCCGAGTTCGATCCCCGGTACCAAAAAACAAACAACAACAAAAAAAATCCAAACAAACAAACGAAATGGATTGAAGAAATGTAAAAGGGATGTTACTGAGATGACTAGGGACCCCTGAATCAGACAATAGGGTGCTATCAGTGGTAAGTCTCAAGTGAGATCACTGCCTTGTGGTCATAGAGGATAGAGTCTTCTTTCTTTTTTCTTCCTTCCTTCCTTTCTCCCTCTCTTTCTTTTTTGGTACTGGGATTCGAACTCAGGTCCTTGTGCTTGCACAGCAGGAGGCAGAACCTCTGAGCTAAATCCCCAGCCCAATGTGTGTTTTCTTAAAAGATGTATGCTACAATATTTAGGGGTGACACTGATAGCAAAAAATGGTTAAAAAAATAAGAGCAATTGACAATACACACATGGAGAGAAAAATAAAGGAAGCAAAGTAATTGCTCATAACTGTGAATCCAGATGGAAAAATATTCCAGGTACCTGTGGTAGAAATTTTTTGTTTGAAATTTGCTAAACTAAAAAAACAAAACAAAAACAAAACAAAAACCCTCTAAAAAAAGAAAAGGCAGTATTTGAAGAGTAAACTTAAAAATACACACACTTTGAAAAAGATGTGGGCCAGGGATTTAGCTCAGTGGTTCTGCCGCCTGCCTTGCAAACATAAGGACCCAAGTTCAATCCCCAAACAAAACAAAACAAGATATGTAGTTCCACCGCCTGGCCTGCCTTGCCAGTGCAAGGACCCGAGTTCAATCCCCGGTACCAAAAATAGATAGATATACTCTGTTCTCCTCAAAAGTAAGAAAAACAATGTATAAAACAAGTGTACCAAAAACACAGTCCCCATGTAACTCAGCTAAGAATAATTAAAGTTCCTTTTTGAGTACTAAAATAGTGGCTCAGTAGATCCAAGTCCCAAATTACTTACTTACTTTATTTATTTATTTATTTTTGTCGTACTAGGGATCAAACTCGGGACCTTGTGCTTGCCAAGTAGGTGCTGCACTACTGAGCTACATTCCCGGCCCAATGCCCCAAATGTCTGTTTACAAAATTATGCTGAAGGAGGCTGAGCCACTTCCTATGTGAGTGCTAGTAAGTGGGAGGGAAATTCAGAAAGATCAGGCCCCATGCAGCTCCAGAGCCTGGAAAGCCCGGGTCCCAGCCCTCCTTAACCCATCTACTCACCAGCAAACAAGCTCTGCAAAGAGGTGCAGAAAGCACAATTCTGTCAGTAGAAAAAGGTGAAGCATTACCTGTGAAGGCCTACCTGTTTCACCCGGATAAATGTCAAGGGATAAAGGCTTTGTATGGACCCTCCGGGACATAGGATGTCCAGAGCTCCCTCCACTGTCTTTAACTGAAAAGAAAGAAGAGTAGCACTTACTCTTCCCGTCACTGGTAATGACGGCAAGGATAATATGATGCCCAAACCATTCGAGACTTCAGTGGATTAGACCAAACCATGGAATAAACGTGTTGTTCCAACTCTACTCAGCGCTGCTTCTTAGTAACCTTTGGTTCTCTTCAGCCACTCCCTAACTCCTGATGAAAAATGTAAACGCTAGTAGTCTTAAAGAGCTTCAAATTACTCATTTAGAAATACAGGGGCTAGGGATTCAGCTCAGGGGTTCCACTGCCTGCCTCGAAAGCGCAAGGTCCCAAGTTTGATACCCAGTACCAAAAACAAATATAACATGCTCAGGGATAAACATGACAGGCCTTGAAATAAGTGCAAACCAAGGTTCAGCAGCTGCCTCCTCCATAAAGCTTTTCATAATATCGTTAAGAAAAATAACTATAAAGTATAGTAACTAGAAGCAGCTGCACCAAGACTAGATGTGCCATTATGTCACCTTGTTATAATTCTTCCAGTTATTTCACCCTCCAGTGAGCTTGTCTGGAGTCATTTAGTAGTTGTTTGGTACCAAGCTCTCCCTACTGCCCAGCACCTGGCAGACAAGCTAAGTACTGCTCACGTCCTGGACTCCTGCAGCCGCGTGCTTATTTGAATGCAACGCTAAGAGCACTAACGACAGCTACCTGTTAGGCATGTGCTTGCCCATCCCACATGGGTTGGAGCACTGTACATCCACTAGCTTGTTCAACACTCACAACCGACTGGGGACACTGGCAGGCATCATTGGCCCAAAGGGATTCAAGGCAGTTCACTCAAGTAACGAGAGCCAGGGCTGGCAGTTATGTTTGTTTCCAAAACCCAGATAATGCCCACCATAAAACTGATAAGGACTTTTTAAACATTTGTTTTTGTTTTGTTTTTTAGAGACAGGGTCTCACCATGTAGTTCAGGCTGGCCTTGAACTTGCAGTGATCCTCCTGCCTCAGCCTCCTAGAGGGTTGAGATTATAGCCATGCCCAACCATGCCCTTTGAGGATTTTATAAACAGTTTACAAGGGTGCCTGGCTGCCATACAGCACAGTGGAAATCTTTCTTTTTGTTTTTTTTAACTTTTGAGATAAAGTCTCATTAAGTTGCCCAGGCTGGGCTTGAACCTGGGACTTGGGATCCTTTTGCATTAGTCTCCTGGAATGCTGTGATAACAGGTAAATGCCATTGTGTTAGGAAAAAAAATTCTTAATTACAATTCAATCAAGTCAGCCATTCCCATGAGCGTTTTCCTACCTGGACAACTAAAGGAATATAATTCATAATAAAACCTTGTATCCTATATAGCTATATTCTACGTAAATTTGATTTAGTTACATGTCAATTTGCTATCTTAAATTGTATACATTTAGTTAACAATGAAAAGCCATGTCTGCTCAATTTTCCTTCCTGACAAGCAGTATGTGTTTTCGTTACTACGTGAGCTTTTTGTTGAGGCAATGTTGCTGTTTTAAACATTTCCAGTTATTTTCTGTTGCATAAAAATAAATCTCCACAGCTCTAAAACCAACCAACAGCCTTTTCCTTTAAGTAGCTGCAGCAATGAACGAGTAGAAGGAAGCCTGCACCCTTCACAAGCATGATTAAGGTCTGATGAATCTAGAGAGAGATCCCTATCAGACGAGACCCCACATTCTTTGTAGAATGTAGCACACACATCTGACACTAGGTGGAAAATGTTTCAAGAGCTCAACAAACCAACCATAACGTCAAACGGCTTCTTGAACGGAAAAATTATACAATCATGTTTGGCATTTTGCTTAAAGATAAAAACTTAAGATACTATTTTAGAATGTCAAAATTCTTAAGAAATCAGTAGTGGCTCGTGTTTTTTCTTCTTGTGAATGAACACAGGTAGGAGTTAGGGAGTCTAAGAGGGGAAAACCTGACGACACAGGCGGGCAAAACAAACTGACTTGGCTTACATCATATCTGACTATTAAATAAAGTCTCTCTCCTTCTCTAGGACAAAACATCCCTGCCTCATATTTATGATTAATTCCTAGCCTTTCCCCCTGATATCTCACTTACCAAGAAACCAGTCTATAAACATGAGGACATGAATTTGAGATCAAGGGGGAGTGTGCAATTCAGCAGAAACGTAAAAATTTCTGTGGTTTCACCCCTGCTGCTAAATCCCACTCCCTCACTCCCAGTCTTTCAACGCAGTGTTTTTTCTTTCTTACCATTCTCAGAGTGACTTTCCCATACGCGAACTTTGGTGTAGATGGAGGGATAATACCTTCTGGTACTTTTTCAAACTATAAACAGAAGTGGAAAAAATGAGAGAAGAGAAAAATTCTGTCAAACCTCTAGAAACATAGCCGTAAAATTCATTTCTCAAAAGAAAGGTCAAAGTTTCAAATGATGGTGCTGTGATTTTTGGAAAAGCAAAGGCTCACAAGGATTTCTTCCAAAACAGCACCTGGTACATGCTTTACTTCTAATCGTGAGTCTGTGTCATAAGCTCTGAGAACAGAAGACTTTAAAACAAAAAGTAAAAAGAAATAGAAAAACTCCCCCTTGCTTTGAACACACTGAACCCGTCGTTCTCGCCCCTTTCTGAAGCAGTTTTGAAAATCCTCTTATGTTCATACTTGTGCTCTCATGGCTGAATCGATCCAAAACATTTACCTTTCATGGTCCATTCCACTTAGGGGAAGAGCCAGGAGTCACATGGTTCAGCAAGTAGAGTGCGTAAGGACGCATGGTTAATGTTTTTGATAGAAATTGCCATACATGGTTGGTTAATGAGGGGTATGCATAAGTTATGGTGAATGTTTACATTAAAAAATTGATTACACTAAAAGATACGTTGCCATTACTCCCTCAGATCCTCAAAATATTCCCTTTGACGTCGAGCATGTCTTCTGTGGTTGTTCACTTAAACGTTCACTGCATCTTTCAGTCAGCCTTTGTATACATGTGTACGTGTACATATTGTACAGATGTGAACGTGTATAAGTACACATGGAGAGAGGGTGGAGGAGGAGAAAATGTTGGAATATCTGGGTATAAAAACTCTCTAGTCTTAGAAAAACCTGTAGCCACATGGCATTTCTAAGTAGACCGCATTATGATCTCTTGGAATCCATTTCTCTCTCCTTCTCTCCACCCCATGCTTCCATCCCCAGCCCTGGCTTTTTTTAAAAAAATGAATAAAAATTAATGATTTTTAAAAAGTGGAGAAAATACTATTATAATGAAAAGTGACAGTCTCCTAATTCACTTTTCTCTTAGTTCTAACCTTTGGAGACAACCATTTAAAAATCACTCATTCCTGCTTTTGCTTCTTTTGATCTGTAAATAATATATTCTTTTTGCAGGGGTACTGGCGATCAAACTTGGGGCCTTGTGCTTGTGAGGCAGGCGGTGGAACCACTGAGCTAAATCCTCAGGCTCTATACTATTATTTCTTATGTGATGAATTTGAAACATCACATATGAGAGTATTACTCCCACATATAATGACCCCAGATTATCTTCCTTTCTTGCCGGTATGATCATAGTACCATCTTCACTTTCTCCACTGGTTACGCCCTGAAGATGGTATTAAGTTTCCTTACCCCCCCATCACTCCCATCTGGAATTATCCGTCTGCTGCAAGGAACTGACTCCTAGGGGCTTCATATCTTGAGGCTTCCCTGTATTCGCCTGGCTTTTAACTCCTGTTTTTGGATTTCATGACTTTTTCACCTCACTGGAGCACAGTCTCAAGTAACTTCCTCAGAACTGGTACGTGGGAAGTAAACTTCGGGAATCTCTGATTGCTACTTTATACTTTGGAAGGGCACAGAACTCTGTGTTGAAGAGCATCTCCCCACAGAACACCAAGGGTACCACTGAGCCCTATCATTCATGCGGCTCACGCCTACTTATGCTTGTTCCTCTGAAGACTTCTTTTCCCTGGAAGTATGTAGCCTCTTTATTCTCAGTGTTCTACAATCTTCCAAGGATCTGCATTTGTACCATATTTTATTTTATATATATATATATATATCACATATATAGCATTCATTATGCTAAGCAAGTTAGAGATCCCTTTCAATTTTGGAAAAATTCTATATTGTTTCGCTTTCTCCATTTTTTTCTACTTTAGAGTATCAAGATGGGCATCTAGATTGTTCCTCTGTATCTCTTCTGTCTTCTCTCTCATTTTCATCTTTCTCTTCTAATTTCCAGGAAATTAGTTTTCATTTCCCATACATTTTCCCCCCATGGCTCCTTTTTTAAAGGAGCACATGCATGCGTGTGTGTTACTAAGGACTGAAACCAGGGCCCACCCACTGCAACGTTCCCAGCCCTACAGGTACCAGCTCCCCACAGTGAATGTCATCATTAGGTACTGTAAACATGTACTGTATTAACAAACATTTTTAAAAACTTAGCTAAGATACTTAGTTGCTCAGGCTGGACTTGAAATTGTGATCCTTCTGTCTCAACCTCCCAGAGTACTTGGATTAGAAGTATGCTGTATCCTGTTCTTATTTTATGGTTGCAGGATCTCCTCAAATCTCTTCAAAGGATATAAATTTGAGAGATTTTGCTTAAGATCTTGTTGGTCTCCTGAATCCTCTGTTACCTCCAGGATCACTTTTTTTTTTCTTCTCTTTTTTGGTACCAGGGATTGAACTTGGGTCCTTGTCCTTGTGCTTGTGAGGCAGGTGCCGGAACTCTTGAGCTAAATCCCCAGCCCACGATCACTTTTCTATTTCATCTTGGCTCTTCTCTTTCCCACTGTAGGATTTATGTGCCTTCAAGCAGCTGGCCATCCTTGTTTGTCTGTTAATATTTAAGAGTAATTCAAACAAATATCCAGTCATCTCTGTATCCTGGGGGCTTTGTTTTAGGGTAAGTCAATGGAGTCAGATATAATGTGGAAGTTCTCTCCTCTAGGGTTGTTTTACTTTTTCTTTTCTTTTTACCCCCAGAACTGGCAATCAAATATAGGACCTTTCACTTTCCAGGCAGGCGCAGTGCCACTAAGCTAAATCCTCAGTCCTGGTTTTTGTTTTTTGAAACAAGGTCTCACTATGTAGCCCAGGCTGGCCTAAAATTCACAGCAATCCTACTACTGGTTTTCAGAGTACTGGCATTACAAGGTGTGCACCACCATACCCCAGCTTTGAGCTATTTCCATTTTATTTTCTTTTTAGAGCTATTTACTTTTTAAAATTTCTTCAAAGAAAAAAAATTCCTCTGGTTTTCTGGTTGAGGGAAAGATGCCTCCCTGATGAACAGTCTGAGCTTGCTGTCAAGGAGGACCCTATAGGAAATACATAGGATTTAATTAACCTTCCCATTTTCAGCTCCATTTTTCTCCTATCCTTTCTTGCACCTGTATTTCCAGGATGCTGTGTAGCCTGTCTTTTGTTATTATAACAAAATATCCAAGGCAGGCTAACTTTAAAAAGAAAGCTTTCCTCACAGTGGCATCCCTCACTAAACGGGTCCTGGGGATTGAACGTGAGCTACAACCCTAGACCATTTTTATTCTTTTTATTTTGAGGGAGGGTATTGCTAAGTTGTCAAGTGCTCAGGCTCAGCTCAAACTTGTAACCCTCCTGTCTCAGCCTCCCAGAATGCTGGAATTATGACATACCCTGCTGTGGTAGCACACAGCTACTCAGGAGGCTGAGGCCAAACTGGGCAACTTAGCAAAACCTTGCCTCAAAAAGTGAAAAAATAAAAGGGAGTCGGGGATGTAACTCAATGGTAAAGCACTTGCCTAGCATGCATGAGTCCCTGGGTTCCACTCCCAGCACTCCAAAGAGAGGGAGGAGGGAGGAGGGAGAATCGCCAGCAGCAGCTTGATCAGCTCAATGTGCTGCAGAGTCGAGGGCATGGTGGTACCAGCATCAGGTTGGCTCTGGTACGGCTGTGTGGGGCAGAACTGACCAGGGTCCCATAAGACAAACCAAATCCTTTCCAAGGGCAGTACCTTCAACAGACCAAGGGGCTCCCAGTAGGCCCTGCTTTTTCTGTTGGCATTTTGTTTTGAGACAGGGCCGCACTATGCAGCCAGGCTCCCTCCTCTCCTGGAGGGCACCACCGTGCCTGGCTCAAGCCCACTTAAAGGAGCCACACTGCCTCCTGTGCCACCAGCAGGCACCAAGCGGCCAGCACATGGAGCCCAGGGTTCCTCATCCTGTGTCTTCACTCACCACTCCTGCATCTATGGTAACTTTCTTGTTCTAGAAATTTTGTGAAATCTACATGCACAGAAAGCTCCCCTCTTGTTGGCTTCATTTTTAAAAAAAATCCTTTTCTTATTAACAGTTTGGAAGGAAGAGATAGACACAGTAGAGGGTCAGTCAGCTGTCTTGAAGTGGCAAGTCCTTTGTAATCTAAGTATTTTGTGATTCTTTAAAAGAAGATCATGTTAGCGGAGCATGGTGGCGCATGCTTGTTGTCCCAACTGCTCAGGGGGCTGAGGCAGGAGGCTCACTTGAACTCGAATTCAGAGCCAGCCTGGACCCTGTACAAAAAAATAAAAAATTTTAAAGAGACGAATGTGAGGGCAAAGACTTATTCGTTCTTAGAGCAAGATGTTGTAAAATCCTAGCTTTCCCTGAAGTTGCAATCACATTCTTTCTCCTTGGGCAGCTCACTCATGCCTTCCTGTTCTAGCTCACGTTCTGGCCAATAAAAGCAGGAAACGCAGATTCACACAAGGGGATCCAATGGCAGCGTGATTAGTCCTGGTATGTGCCTTATTCATCTGTACACGGCAGCAGTCGAGTCAGAGAGGATTCCTGTTAACTAGAACTGCGATCTCCTGTGCTACACAGGAAAACTGTTCTGCACAAACACTCTTGCTCGGCCTCCCTCCCGGTCCCTGAGGGAACGCTCATGGGCCAGGTCCGTCCTGTTTTACTACTCCCAGGGGCCCTCGGACCTACTTATTAGATTTCCTTCTTACAGATGAGACGGGAAAGTCACTCAACTTACAAGACAGGGAAGGGGTGGGTGTTGTCACTTGGAGTCTCGTGTCACCTCTGCAGCTCCTTCTGCCTCCTGTACTGTTCCATGGATGCAGGGCAGAAGGGTCTCTGCTCATCATTTCAAAAACAGAAACCAAAAAGCTCCAGACCTCCACAAAACCTTTGGTCTTCAGATTTCCCTCCTAGATCCTCCCCTTAGGCACACACACCACTCGCCTAAAGCACTCTGCCGTGCCAAATATTGGCAAAAATTTTCTGTTTTGCATATTATAGTGCTTCAAATGGATATGACAGAATTTACATAACCAACCCTTCTG